TTTTTTTTTTTTTTTTTTTGCTGCAGACATTTGTAAGGCCATTGTGTGCCGTACTACCATTTGATTTATTAAAAGAGACATCCAATGGTCAATAACTTTGGGAAATAAAAACACCTTACAGTTGAAAAAAATTACAAACCATTTGAGCTCAAATTCATCAAGAACCCAATTGAGCTCAAATTCCTGAGAGCCTCCTGAAGCAATTGAGCTCAGACCGCCTGGTGGTGGTGTGATGAAGACCGTGTGTCCTGCTTGTCGATAAGCCGTTCCCGCGCCTTGAATCGCACGATAGGTGTTAGGATGTTCACACACTCGCGCCCCTCGAAACGAATAAAATTGCAAAAGAATTCAAGAAGAAAACTAGAGCAAAGTGTTTGAACAAAAGTTTGGATTTTGGTATTGATTTCTGAATGATAAAATATGACAAGGGGAAGGGCCTTTATATAGGCACAAATTATATCTAGTCCTAATCAACCTAGAACTCTAATAAAGCAATAAAATATTAAGTAACCTAAACAAACTAGATCTCATAAAGCAATAAGGAAACTAGATAACTTGTCTTGCACTCCAAGGAACTCCTAGCCGCCCCAACTCCATATGCCGCCCTAGGTCACGCACTGCCCGCAAGCGCTTCGCCTAAGCCGCGAGGATTAGGTCCGCGCTCCCTGCTGTCGCGCGTGCAGGCCCGTCGCACGCATCGCGCGCGCTCGTGCCTTCGACTGCCTCCTCCCGCACGTGGCTCCCGCCTGTCTCTCCGCATGCCTCGAGGCATAAGGCTTCACGCCCCGCGCGTGCTCCCCAGCAGCACGCATCTTCCGCGCCCCGTCCTGTCGCTATTCGTTGTGCGCGCGTCTTCCTCGCGCGCTGCTCATGTGCCCGCGTCAGTCGACGCCTGTTGGCTAGTCCCGCCTGCTATTCGCGTGCCTTCGCGTACGTCTTGCTCAAGGGCGTGCGCCTCGCCTGTCTCTCGTGCTAGCCTCCTTCGTGCGTGGTAGGCGCGACTCGCGGCATTTTTGAGCTGCCTAGCAATATTCGCATCATTCCCGTCCCCTTCAAGTGCTTCCTTGTACTCAAGGACGAAATCCGGGAATTGATCGCGCATCTCATCGAGGTCCTCCCATGTGGCTT